CCAGCACTATAGCTACTCCTTTGTAAAACCCTTAATTCTCCCAACCCTTTATTTTCCCCAACGCCCCCCACCCACTTTTTTTTTTTTTTTTTAAGGCGCAGCTCACAGTGGCCCATGCTGAGATTGAACCGGCAACCTTGGTGTTATCAGCACCACGTTCGAACCAACTGTGCTAAGAGGCCACCCCTCTTGCAATCATTGTTAAAATTATCTTTTCAGTTCTACTCCTGGTCGGCGGCTAGATTCTAGCCACACTGACCTTTCTGTCCCTTGAACATGTTAAATTCATCCCAGTTCCAGGATCATTGCATTTGCTCTACCTTCTGGCTAAGATATTTTTCCTCTAAACCTTGGCATAGCTGTTTCCTTATTTCACTCAAATGTCTCCTCCACCTAGAAGCTTTTGTTGATCATTCCAGCTAACACAGGCGTGCCTTCATCCTTCCCTAGGGTTCTTTGCCATATTTCTCTATTATCTTCATAACATTTATCAAAATCTGAAACCCTCTTATCTATGAATTTACTGTTAATTTACTTACACTCAATTATCCATAGGACTATTCCTAGTACATTTGTAGATACCCATTAGAAATGTATTGGCTTCACTGACTGATATAATCTCTTCAAACTGTTGGAATGTTGAGTTCTACATTTGTCTGAAAGTCCTAGTGGGTTTGTTTGTTTGCTTGCTTGTTTGCTTTAAACATAAATTAAGGTAGAATCCATCCTGTTTCTCTCTAATAGACTTTTACCCCTTCAAGGTGACTCATAGTAAAACCTGAGGGTCCTGATTTTAATGCATGGTTTTGATTTAATATGTAGCCCCTGCACTCTATTCAGCTTCTTCACAGCATGCCCTGTAAAGCCTTAGCCCTTTGCCTTACTAGTCATTAACCCCTGAGGCAGCCAGAAATAGTAGGCACACCTTGACTAAGAATCACAAGGTATGGGTTTCTGTTGAGCTAAAGATAATATCTTGACCTAAGTTATGTTTCAGCTCCTGAAAGCCCTAAGGTTTGCTAAGACCCCCTGGTTACTTTTCCATGAAACTAGACAGAGAGACGCCAGAGCAGACATCAGAGCTGTCCTCAAGACTTGAAGAAATGATTTATTACCTTACTTCACTTCCTACCAATCAGCTTTCAACATGACTCCAAACCCCTAACCCACAGTGTCTTGTGATTTTGCCCTATATAATCTGTAACCTACACACCATCGGGAGTTTGGGTTTTTGAGCATTAGCTTCCTAGTCTCCTGGTGGTGCCATTCGTAATAAAATAGCCAGCCTTTCTCCACTGCAGTTCTCAGTGTTTAGTGTTTCGTCCACCGGTGGTAGCAGAGCCAACTTTTTCTGTTCCATAACAATAGTGCAATCTTCTTTTACATTTAATTTTTATTTCAAATAATACATCTTTGTGATTTGAAAAGTCAGTTAATAGGGCAAGACTTTTTAACATAC